TATCTTATGTGGCAGGTCAAGGCCCCTGTCATTGTTGTGGGTTGTATGCTTGACATGAGGGATGATCAGCAAGCTATTAGTTTGGAGCAGGTTATGTTGCCCATAATGCAACAATTCAGGGAGATCGAAACATGTATTGAGTGCTCTGCGTACAAACTAATTCAGGTAAATGTGATTTCAGTTTTTCAAACTATTTATGGGATACCATGTATTAACTGCCAATTTCCATTCCTCGCATTATACTACATGCACATAAAAGCTTCATTTCTTTACTAAAATCATCATTTCAAAGTTCAAACGATACTTTCTTTTGGAATGGGAAGTAGTCATCAAGATATGTTGAGTTTTTTATGATTTTTTGGAGTTCGAGCATTTATGTTATCATGTCTTTGATTGATAGACTGGATGTACTGCTAAAGTGTAGATCTTATGCCATTATCTCCAACAACCTGAAGCCGACGACTACTTGCAGGTTTCTGAAGTTTTCTACTACGGACAAAAGACTGTTCTGCACCCAACTGCTCCACTGTTTGATCAGGAAGCTCAAACTTTAAGACCAAGATGTGTGAGAGCTTTGAAACGAATTTTCATTCTTTGCGACCATGATAGGGATGGAGCCCTTAACGATTTTGGATAACTTTCAGGTTTTATATTTTGGAAAAATTTAAAACATTACTTCAACAATTGCTCTCTTTTTACGAAAAACACTCCAGCTGCCCTTACTTGCACAATCTTATTTTACAATTAATATGTAGATGGATTTTTAAATTGATGACTTGAAAAAAAATCTCTTCTTTTAGTTTTCATAAAAAACTTATTTACTTATTCCTCCAACTCAAATATCAATTACGTGTCTCCCAATTAGGTCTTGTTCTTTTCGGTTGGAATTCTAAAGTTGGATCTTTGAAAAGTTGGAAGATGTTCAAAAAAACTAGAAAAAGTTAGAAAGTGTTGGAAAAAATAAATGTTAAAAGATTGTGCAAGTGAGGTGGTTTGTGGAGTGGTTGTATAAAAAGAGAGCAATTGTGGGAGTAATGGTGTAATTAATTGATTTTCGGAGTATTATTGTACAATCAAAGATTTTTTGAAGTATTGTTGTAAATTATTCCTTATATTTTAGCCCTTTTCTATGTATGCTGGCTTTCTTGCTTTATACTCCGTAATAGATAATGAGTTGGAGCTCATGAATTCTGCTTTTGTTGGGTGATTCTTTTGGTGGGGAAAATTGCATAGGTCAAATGTTTCAATGCTCCATTGCAACCTTCAGAAATAATGGGGGTTAAGAAAGTGGTGCAAGATCAAATGCCCGAAGGAGTCAACAGTCGTGGCCTTACGTTGACAGGTTTTCTCTTTCTCCATGC